AGGTACAGATAATGTTTTTTTTCATCTTCGAATTTACAGCAATAATAAAATCTTAAAACAAAAAAATATCAACAATCGACTCGCGACAGATTCTTGGAGCTCTTAACAAAAATGCGATGTATTGTCGAAATAAGCAAAGAATTTTCTGATAATTTTAGTAATGATAGTAAAATTATATATATAACAATGATCCTGGTCGCATTAGCTACAATGTCGGTAAGACATCAGTCTTCATTATAATGATGAGAATTAAATTAAATTGAATTAAATTTGAACAACTTATGTGTGCCCGCATTATCAGTTTCATTGATGTATATGAAGGGTGATTGAATATTAGCATGGTAAAAATTTATTGTGATGCCGTATAAGCAGTAAAAATAGATGCGGATCGAAGGAAAGCGCAGCTTTCTGACAACGTGCCACGACAATGTGCTCGACTTTACAGCAATTTAGCGGCCGTGTGACGAGAATTCGTAAATTAGCGGCGAGTCGAGACACTCACGCATTCGTCTATGTGGTGCAATTTATTTCGACTTAGAAAGTCAGTGGAGAGCTGCCTTTTAGAACAATTCTTGTTACAGAAGAAGCGATAGATTTAACTAAAAACGATTATTATTTTACTTTACTTCCGTTTCTATTTATCTTTATAACTGTTTGCACTCACACATAATCGAAATGTTTGAATATGAATTTTACAACATGAATTTTAAATGAAATTATTCATTTTTTCAAAGCGAATCTCGATGCAACGTTCGGATGTAACGCTCAGAACCACCGTGTAATCTTTTAATTCTTAATAATAGAACTCAGCTGAAACTTTCATTACTTTAATTACTTTTTCCGTGGCGATATATAATCTCTTCATGATTAAATTAAAACCTGGGCCATTTAAAATTAAAAATGCATTTTTCATAACTGTAAGCACTTAATCCCTTTTTTTCGCAGGCTTATATAATGAAGTCTAAAAGGTGCAGTTTGTATGAAAGCTCTCGGGATTAATAGTTAACTTAGTTTTCATAACTTTGAAATGTTAATTTATTCTGCGACAAGTCTTTCATAAATTTGTTCGCGAAGACTTTTTAGAGCATACATTAAGCTCGTACAGATTATAGATTAACTATAACCATATAATTCTCTTTTATTACATTATTTATTCGTCTGTCTGCACGCAATATGTATTAGTGTAAGGTAAATCTGACAGATACGACCATTCCCGTGTTTACCCAGCATTTATCTTTTTCCGACGACCCCTTCTGATAATGGCTACGAGACTCGCCGTAAAAGCTGGCATTGTGCCTTTCCCCAATCCTTTAGTTCCCATTTTTCTTTACCCTCGTATTATATTATATCGTAGAAAAGGAGATCGATACACGTCTCCAAAATGTATATTCTTTTTGTGCAAACTGCTACTACAAATATTTCCGTGTAAACAAATCTAAAAAACGACAAGAGTCACATCTTATCGCCGTGAAAACGATTACGGAGCATTTCAGGTAGCATGACAAAGTCCATGAGCCAAGTTCGATGCCCTTCAAAAGAACAAAAATTTGCTTATGGAAGACATTATAAAGTTTGAAATTTTTTCCATTTAACTTTCTCAATCTGTATAATTTGCATATTTTCATTCAATAATTTTTATTTAACAAGATAAGAAAAGCGAAGGAGAGGAAGTAATGAAAATGCTTGGTGATGGACGTGTAATTGGGAAAGAAATCGGAATTATTACTGTCTATACTTCCTGTATTCGATACGCGAGTGCAGCGTCACAAGCTGAGAATGAATTCTGCGATTATCTAGGACGGGTTCGCCTTCTATGGCGAATCTTGGCAATTAAGCCAAGACTTAAATTTTCCCCAAGACGAACTTTGCCTGGAGTTAAAACACAATTTCGCGCTCTTTGCACTCCGGCAGATTACTTATAAAAAAATTTGCATAATTCCTTTATTATCAATTCAAATTAGTCACTTCTTAACGGAGAGTTGGCTCCGTTATTATTAAAGAAAAATGCATACTTTCTTGCACTTCAGCATTTTCCTCTTTTAAAATCTATTTTTTTTTTGTTTTGTTTAACCGTTAAATGCCGGATAAAAATTTTCCTTGCGGGTTTTACACCGCTTTTCTTCGTTGTTCTTTCTTTTCCCCCCATCGAGAACGATCGATGAGAGACGCTCGATGAAAGATAGTCGAAGAGCACTCGAGAAAACCGTGACTCACACGTTTCCCATCCATGTCGTCCTCCGAATGCGAATGACCGGTTAGGTTTATCCACGTCGAGGTGTTTGCGCACCACGACAAAGTCACGGTGCAGCGTAATTTCGCCGTAACGGTAGTCGCCGGGTGCAACTTGCGTTCTCGCGTCTGTGGAAAGTGCATTGCACACACACACACACGCACGCACACGCACGCACGCACGCACACGTACACATACACCGGTTTCATTTTCATTCACCGCGCCTCGTAACTTGTTTTGAGGAACGCTGCACCGCGATGCGAATTCCCCGCGTACACATATCATCCGCAGTCTTATTAATTCTCCAAAGCCGACACGTTTTACAGCTTGGTGTTACAATACAAGTTGCGATTGCAACTTCACCGTCTTAATATATGCGTCGCGAAATGCAAAAAGACTATAGAAAGATTATCTGATATAACTTTAAGTGTGACAGCTACATCGTTCGTGTGTGTGTGTGTGTGTGTGTGTGTGTGTGTATTTAACGAAGATGCAAATCAAAACGGATTAAACTGATATTAATTTTAATCCGTACGTTATTTTGAAGTAAGAAACTTCTTCTATATTCATGACAAACCTGCGTTTATGCAACGCAAATCAACTGGAATTACATTTCCAGTTGTTAATTCGAAGGAAACTTCCCTCGAAGGAAACTTCTCCATCGCGGACGACGCGGAGGGGAGCCCGCCGAGCAACGCGTGAGAAATTCGAGGCGGGCGACGAGCGCACAAATCTGCATGATAAACATTCGCGCGATCCCTCGGCTTCTCTTTCGCATTCGCAACGTCGACGTCGGCGGTTTCGCGGTAGCGTTGCGTCGCTCGTGACGATTCGCGCGGCGATATCGTTCACATTCCACGGGGTGCACGTCACCCACCGACGACTGCGGCGGTCAAGGAGTCCTGTTGTGAAAAGTTGCAGAAAACGTTCCATGCTAAATTGAATACGCATATGTACAATCGCCTGTTTTCATTGAGACGCAATAAAAAACGTTACGATTAAAGAGCAACAAGCGTTACCGCCATTGTTTGTTGATGTCTTTATATCGGGACTGAATGATTAAACGAGAAAAGCAAGAAATGAAATTGAAACGCTGAAGTAGTACAATTTCTTATCTCGAGATATATTGAATATCAGTTGATTTATTGAAACATAATATATTATTTTATTTCATATTGTCATGTCATCTAAGGCCATCGAAACTGCAACAATAATGTGTCTTTCTCACAATGGTTTTGAAACATTTTATTCATCTCACGATCTATTACGTGAATTTTCTTCGACTATATCTCACCTCGGCTGATAAACGTTTTATAAAATTACAAGGAAATTCTGTGGTGTGCTTATAATTTTCTTGATGTGAGCCTGAGAAATTGTCAGCCTCACCCCACACAGTCACTTTACGTTGGTCATGAAAGTAATCTTGACACTAATTCGCACGTTATCAATTAATCACGTCGCGTCGTACTTTTTCGTAACGATCTGACACACACACACTTGCGGTATCAGCGAAGCAAAAGAGGGGCGTTTTCAGTGTCCTCGCTCGGTCTTTTGCAACAAAGTGTCACGCCTACCATGAATTGTACAAATTGATATTACTACTCACATTCAGCGTGATTATGAAACATTCCTCGAAGTAAGTACGACTACATGCTACTTCGGTTTTAATTGAAAATAATTCTTTCGATTGTATTATTCTTCCTTATTTATGTTCTCGTATCTTACGATTACATTTTGATGTTTACATAATTTTCTTACATTTAAATGAACCGTAACTGTATACGAGTCTAATTGTTTCCTTCGTTTACACACTGAGAAAATGATGTTATATCAATATTATTCTAATGGAAAATAACCTTGTAGAATTACAATAACAGTATTAATGAAACAAGCCAAATTTTATTAAAATAAAAGCGTGACGTATTTATTTCATTAATAGTGTTATTGAATTAACAAGTATTATTTTCAATTAAAATAATACTTGTTGATACATAACAGTATATTTGTTTTCAATTTATCGTATATAATTATTTCCACTATGAATTAATCGATGATAATTAGCCGTTCTAAAAAAATATATTTTCTGTAGATATGTTTGAAATGATAAAATGTTATCACGTGATTGAGAAGAGCCTGGTAGAATTCTGACGATTATCATACCCGGTTTTTCGAGCAGTGTATGTACGTAACTTTGTACACACCAGCATATTCGCGTGCGAGATACTCGGCTGAATTGTCGGACTGCTAATTTCGCTAATTACTGCGACGAGCTCCGTGTATGCATGCTATCACATACTGATAGCGATACGTGGTAATTATGACGTGTGTACGACGTAAACGCATATAACGACAGACAAGGTGCAATTCGAATTTACGTTCACCGTTTCCTCCGAGAAATCGTGGAAAAATCTTTGATTAATAAAGAGTAAAGAGATAATGCAGATTTAAGATAATGCCGAATAATGGAAAATAAAATATCTTAACGTTGTATTCTGTAGTCAATCTATATTTCTAAATACAAATTTGATGATACAATCTCAGAGTATATGTACAAACGAAGACTGAAGAGTTTCGATGTCATAATATTTCGAAAGCCGTATGAATTTTTCATTTGTAAATATTATATATAATTTTTTTATTTAATAATTCAATGTTAAAAATCTGTGAAAAGTTGTCTGTACTGTTCTTTCTCTACATTTGTATAGAATGGCAATGTATTTTTAATCTTTTTTTCAATGTAAAATATGCAATGCCCACTTTTTTTTTCTAGATTCCCAAGATGTCGACCTGGATGCGATCCTCGGTGAATTGTGCGCCTTGGAGCGACGTTGCGACGGAGACATCGCCGCTACTCCCGCACCAGATTCACAAAGGCCAGGACGACCCACCAGCGCGAGGATCAACCCAGGCGACAACACCGATATCAAAAATGAAGGAGGTTCGTGCTTGAATGCCAAAGAAATTTTCTAACTACATATTAATCATATTGTGACACAATTTTACTGATTCATTGATTCAATTGTACGTAGCAATCTCTCTACTTTACATTATGAATTATTACATCATTTGTGATTTTATAAATTATATCATTTGTAAGACATAGTAAAGTTTGAAACACTTTACACGTGTTTATGTTTGATATCCTGTTATAGGTATGCGCACTGATAGTCCTGATAATGACAGTGCGTTCTCAGACACGGTGTCCATGTTGTCCAGCGAAAGTTCGGCGAGTAGTAGTGGTTCCGGACACAAGCCACCTCAGACCGCCATGCACACAGCTCCTCAGCAGCAATCGCACCAGTTTGTCGGTGAGTCTTTAATTTATTTTGCCATCGATAACTTTAGAATGTTGATCGAGTCATCGTTTTAATTGAGATCAATTTAAACACTAAACTTCGATTTCTCAAACTTTCGTTTGTTTCACGCACATGCACATTTTATTTGATTAAACTACTTGAACGGCAAGTATTCTATTTTTAATTTACGATATTACATACTCTAGCTTCAGTTTAGTGACTGTGTTTCGAGGCTAATAAATAATTGGCGCGCAGTTTGTCCGACCTGAAGATTGTAAATATTCATACAAAAATATTATTCAGTATCAAGAGTCGCTTTGACCGAATATAGCCTCCTTCTTCGTTTATTTATTTGCGCTAAATGTTGAGCATTTCCAGCCGATTTTCGCTTAGTATTACTTATTCTATTTTTATTTGTATTTATATTTATACCAGTCTGTGGCATCTCTTGAGTAATTTTGTTTGTAATTATCTCTTCAGATACAGCGAGTAAAGCGAAGGCAGAGAAAATCCGCCTGGCGCTGGAGAAGATGCGCGAGGCGAGCGTACAGAAGCTCTTCATCAAAGCGTTTACGCTGGACGGTAGCGGTAAAAGCCTCTTGGTCGACGAAGGGATGAGCGTCGCGCATGTGTGTAGGTTGCTCGCAGACAAAAACCATGTTCCAATGGATCCGAAGTGGGCCGTGGTCGAGCATTTGCCCGATCTCTTCATGGGTGAGTCTATTATCTTCTATTTGCCGACCGCTAATTGCTAGACTAGTGACGCAACATTTCTTCTCCGACAGACAATATTTACACGCGACATTAATTTTTAATGTGCTGACATCCTCATTTTCAATCGATATTTCCTAGTGCTTTTTTAAAAAAAAATGCCTTTTTTATATTTACGTAAAAGGTATTATTAAAAGAAATATTAGATAAATTCTGTATATAATATATTAAAATTATCAACATGAAATTAAAGACGTACAATATATATAAATTATATTGTACACCTTTAAATGACATTCAGGGTCATTATGTCTATAATAGTGAGAATAATATTTACTCTATTGTTAGGACTTTTTCTGAGAGGGATACATTGTAAGCCTCAGGAAATGATTTTATTGTACTACTCGGTGTCGACCTGCAAACTAACAATAAGATGTATAATGAGATATTAATGGAACTTTCAGAGAGGGTTTACGAGGACCACGAATTATTGGTGGAAAATCTTCTACTATGGACCAGGGATTCCAAAAACAAGTTACTTTTCGTCGAGAGACCAGATAAAACACAGCTATTTCTCACACCCGAACGATTCCTTCTCGGTCCCACAGACCGCGGTGGTGGCGAGTACGACGACCACTCGAGAAATATTCTATTAGAAGAGTTCTTCTCAAGCAGCAACGTCGGCGTACCCGAGGTAAGCGAGACGTGTTTACGATCTCATTGCGTCTTGGCAACCGAACCGAACGACGACAACGAGTTCGTTGACATATATTCCACTTCTCCTCTGCATCGATTACCATTCGCTTCCAGGTCGAGGGTCCGCTGTACTTGAAATCGGACAGCAAGAAGGGTTGGAAGAGGTATCACTTTATTTTACGAGCCTCCGGTCTTTATTACTGGCCGAAGGAAAAGGCACGCACCGCTCGAGATCTCGTCTGTCTGGCAACCTTCGACGTTAATCAGGTTCATATTTTTATGTACTCTTTCTCACACAGCGATATGTCATAATACTGATACCAAATATTTATTCATTCTATTCTTATTTTAGATAATTTTTAATAAATTGCAAGTATAAATTGCAATCGTGCATCCATTACACCTTTTTCATCTTATGATATTATATGATCTTTTTCTTATTATTTACTATAAAATCTTGCATCCATCAATATCATTATGCGTGTCGATTTCTATAAAGGATTCGCTAATTGTTAACCAGGTTTATTATGGCGTTGGCTGGCGAAAGAAATACAAAGCGCCTACCGACTTTTGCTTCGCCGTAAAGCATCCACGACTGCAACAGCCCAAATCCACCAAGTACATTAAATTCCTCTGCGCGGAAGATAACGCATCTTTGGAGCGATGGATAGTTGGCATCCGCGTGGCGAAGTACGGCAGGCAGCTAATGGAAAATTATCGGGCGCTCGTGGACGAGCTGGCGCAGGAGGATTTGGACTTACTGGCACATGCCAGATCGTGCTCGGTCAGTTCTATTGCTGCACCGCCAAATCAGACCCAGTATAATACGACAAATGACAACGCCAGACAGTTTGCGGAGAACGTAAGGCACAGCAACGAAACGACAGTTGCTACGACGAGGCAATACGATGGTCAAAGACAGAGTTATAATTCGGAACAACGGCAGAGCTATAACAACGACGGCAGGTTGAGCAGAGCGAGCAGCTCTAGCTCCAGTGGATGTTTGTCTGATGGGGCACCGAGTAGTTGTGAGGTGAATACAATTAAACGCTATTTGATATTCGTATTAATAATAAATCCATTCAAACATATTGTTATTGCACACTACTAATGCTGTTATATCATAATTATTTAACTGGACACAATTATTTAATTTTTGCATATTAATTGTCAGGTGGCCTTCGAATGCGGTGAATTTCCAACCGGTACGATAAAGCGGAAGCCGTCTATGAATCCGAAGTTGCCTCTCACATCAATTACGAGGCAATTGAAGGAGGTCGGCGAAACTGTTCGAGACGAACCAGACTCCTGCCCAAGCCCGACAAGTTCGGGATCCGGTACGCTGACTAGAAGGCACAGTCGTCGGCGAAGTGGCACTGACTCTGACGGGTCCGGAACATTGAAGAGACATCATAGATCTGGAAACGCGACACCAGTCAGCCCAGTACCTCCTAGCACGCCGGTGAGAGAGAGAGCGAGTCCTATGGGATACAGCAGATCGGAGAGCCAGGAATCATCGAAAACGCCGACGAGTCCGATACAAGCGTGCATGGTAATTGATATTACTAAGGAATTTAATATGAACGAATTTAATATTTATTGTTCGATACGTAACGAATAGATTTGTATCCTACAGATGGATTCGATTACCTCGCTGCCACCGCCACCATCACCGTCGAGAGTTGCCGAAGAAGTTGAGTCCGATAGCGAACCGCTTCCGCCACCACCTCCCGAAATGTTCCGATCGAATCTCTCGCTGGACTCCCTGCCACCGCCGCCAGCGCCCGGTGAACTTCCGGTTTGCAACACACCGGAACTCACGGGCTCCTCGTTGAGCCTCGCGTCTCTACCGCCACCGCCCAGTCCGCTCGTCGGCGAAACCGGAACGATACGTCGCGCTAGACCGAAACAGTCCACCCCCACGAACTCTGTCACTCCCGAGAGCACCCCCACGCATAATCCTAACCCCAGGTCACAAGCCAATCAAATGTACACAAATAGTATCGCGTTAAACAACAACTCAGTCCAGAATTACAATTCGAACGCGTCCCCGAATGTTCATGCGAACAACACCGCCAATTCCGTATCCTCTCCACACAACAGTTCCTATCCAGGATCGACGGCAAGTACGCCGACCTACACCCCAAACTCGCCTAATTTCACATCGCCGCCACCCTTCGTACCGCCGCCGGCTTATGGTGCTCAACCGCCACTTACCAATTCCCAGAGTCTCGGCCGGCAAAATTCCAAGGTCGAATCGATATACCAGACCGGTCATCACAACACGATCCAGCCGATTAGGCCAAATCCCAACATGGACACCGTCCGACGTAGTGCTATGAAACAAGGAACTGGCCATTACGCAGCACCGCCTTATCTGGCCGAATTAAAGGCTGCCTCCAGTCCGCAACCGCAACGACGAGTGACCATCCAAGAACCACCGACGTCGCCCAAGTCGAAGACCGGAACCGGCAAGAAGATCTCATTCAATCTGCCGCCCCAACAGGAACCCGGCAGTCCCGCATTACCACAACGGAAGCCGACGCCGCCTAGAAGATCCGACAGCACCAGGCTTACGTCACCGAAGAAGCTGGCAGCGTCTGATCAGGCGCCGCCGGGCGATTTCCTCAAAGATCTCCAGAGAGTGATGAGAAAGAAGTGGCAAGTTGCTCAGAAGTGCAAGTTAGATTCAACGACGACGCCGCACGAGGTGCTCGGTTTCCGGGACCCACCTCCTGCCGTGGCCGATTACAGAGAGACTAATGTGTCCAATTGGGTACAGGAACACTACGGCGCGGATAATCTGTATGAGAATGTATACGCGACGGATCCCCACGGACCAGTCGAGTACGCGTCCAGCCCGGCCAGACAGACGGTGAGGTTCGCGGATGAAAACCGCAGCATGAACATTGTTAATGCAATCGCCGGCAAGAGACGGCCGCCACCGCCGCCGCCCAAGAGGGCCGAGACCACGCATCTTACCACCACCAGGGCGATGCACTGACAATAGCAGATAATCCAGCCCCATCCCGAGAGGAGATGGTATTGCTGTCTTTGCGGCTGGTGGAAGGAATGAGAACGAAGGCGGGGAGACGGCTTCGTCAACGTAACGTTTCAGTCATTGTTTCGGGATGCCAGGTACATCGAATCCATCGTTCTAATTTGGTAGGATCTTCAATGGAAGAAGAAACTTTGCTTTGGAAGAAGAAAGATATGCTTCTTCAAAGAAAAAAAATTAACTGTATGATTTCGTCGCCGGGGACTCTGTGCTGGATCACAAGAGCCGAATGAGAAATGGAGAGAGAGAGAGAGAGAAGAAATTGTTCGGACACGTGGGCACGATTAAAAAAAGAATATTTGTTAATTCAATTTCTGAACGGTTCTGTAGAATTGAATTGACAGAATCTATCTATACGGATATTAATGAGAAAGAATCGTTCAAATTATCAGCAATGAAATTACGAAGAATTAGAGATTATCATGACAAGTTACAAATGCAAGAGAATAAATGTCGATGAACCGTCCTTACCTTAAAAAGT